GAGATATAGAGGGCTGGAGAGATGGCTCAGTGGTCTAAAGCAGCTACTTGGAACAAGCTTGGCAAAGCACCAGGACCGCGGTTTGATCCCCCAGCACCACATGCCAACCAGCTGCGCCCCCTGGTGGGCTGAGCTGCCCCCCCCCACGTGCACAATAAATAAATGTTAAAAAAAATGAGATATAGAAAGTAAAGCCATATTACTATGCTGAGCTGTAAAGCACTCAATAACTTTGGACATTGCCAGTCCTATGGATAACCCACTACTATTATGGACTACTGGACTACATTGGATTATTTTTGCTGAAGTCATGCATCTACAATATTTAAATGGCAATGGTCTCTTTTTTCTTTTCTTTTTTTGGTGGAACCGGGAATTGAACTCAGACCCTTGTGCTTGTCAGGGAAGCACTTATTCTACTAAGCCATCTCCCCGACCCTTTAAATGGCAATGGAATACCCATCTTGGACAAAACTAAACAAAAAAGGGGGATACAAATGAAAGACAGGGTCTCGTTATGTTGCCCAGATTGGCTTTAGATTGGGATCCTCTTCCCTCAGCCTTCCTGGTAGCCGTACTACAGGTGTCCACCACCACACCCAGCTTGAGCGTTGCTGCCCGGGCATTGCCTCAGGTTACCTGAGGGGTTGCTCTTTGGCTCTGATGTGGGGAGTGACAGTGTGTGGTTGTTACTGGAGAGTGGGTGAGGTTTATGTCCTGTCTAGTGACTGTGGGCAGCTCAGTGTCAGGGAGAGCTGGGAAGGGGACTGGGTGCATCATGTGTCTGTCAAGCCTGTGGGTGCCCCAGGGCCCCACCTCATCACTGAACAGGTTCTCCAGCACAGGCTCTGGTACTCCACGGTGACTGTGATCCACTGGCCCGTGGTGTTGGGCTCCCTGCTCAGGGTGACTGCAGGTGCTCTGCAGGCAGCTCTGTGTCTACCTGGGCTCTGTGAGCAGTGACATCACTTCTTAGGCTTTCAGGTTCCCTGGGTGGCCCACCAAGAATGTCCTCTGTCTAGTGGCACAGGGGGGTCACCTCGGGAGTGGCCCCAGCCACTGTGGCTCCCTGGAGACCCTCCACGGCCCCTGGAGGCTGGTCAGCCTCTCCTGCACCTTGATGCCTCAGCCTGAGTCCTGGGCCCAGAACTAACCAGCTCCTGGCCCCATCTCAGCACACACAGCCTCACACGCGAGCAGGTTCAGGGCCTGGGAACATCAGCGTGGGCACAGCTGGCAAGGGGCTCAGGCTGTCCACCTCCTCCTGGGCCCAGCCACGGGAGCCCGTCTTCTTGGTGAGCCCCCCAAACCCTGGGAATTCAGCAAGACGCTGTAGGACATTCACTCTACGCGATGCCCAGCCTGCAGCAGCAGGAGGAGGCAAGGACCACAGGGGAGCAGGAAGGCTGACCAGCGCAAGGTGGTGGGAGAAGCTCCGGCCGAGAGTGCAGCGCCGCATCCACGTGGCCAGCTTCCGGCCCAGCGTGCTGTGTGTCTTGGAGAGAAATCCTTAAGGATTCTGTGCCTCTGTTTTCAGTTCTGTAAAGTGTGTGGGGTCAGAGAGTCCCTCACAAAGGCTTGTTTTGAGGGCTTAGGGAATTGTGTGCTGATGACCAAACATTGTAGCTCTACCATTGAGCCATACCCCTACATCCGTCTGTCCGTCCATCCGTCTATCTATCTATCTATCTATCTATCTATCTATCTATCATCTGTTGAGTTTTTGGAGGCAGGATCTTGCTATGTAGCCCAGGCAGCCTTAAACTAGCAACAATCCCCAGCCTCAGCCTCCTCAGTGCAAGGATCTGCATTTTTTTTTTCCTACAAGGATATTTTTTCCTATACTGGGGATTGAACTCAGGACCTTGGGCTTGCAAGGCAGGCAAATGCTTATGCTGCTGAGCTATCTCCCCAGCCAAACTCAAGCTATTTTATGTATGTAAGTAAGTAAGTATGTATGTATGTATGTATGTATGTAGACAGGTTCTCAGCCTCCCAAGAGCTGGGATTACAGGCACACACCACCACACCCAGTCTCAGCGCACCCTGGGGGCAGGGCTGGCACTGCAGGACAGGAATCGAACCCTGGCCACTGTGCTCTGCCTAACAGGTGCTTTAGTCCGCTGAGCTATCTGGCCGGCCCTCCAACTCAAGCAATTTTAACAAATATTCCTTTAAACATCAATCAATGTCAACCCCTCAGAGATTTGGTCTGTGAAGGAATCTGGCTGGAAAGCTACGTCTTACCACAAACATCTCCACCTGTTAAATAAACCGAGGTGAAAGTAGAGAAAACCCTGCTAGTTCTGCTTTAGTGCCTAAAGGATCACAGTGTCACTTAAAAGTAGAAAGGAGGGGCTGGAGAGATGGCTCAGTGGTCTAAAGCACCTACTTGAATCAAGCTTGGCAAAGCACAAGGACCACGGTTCGATCCCCAGCACCACATGCCAGCCAGCCCCGCCCCCTGGTGGGCTGAGCTGGCCACACACACACACAATAAATAAATGTAATAAATAAAAATAAATAAATATTAAAAAAAAAGTAGAAAGGAATCTTATCTTTCCCTTAAGCAGTTATAATGCCACAAAAATATGGAACGTTTCACGAATTTGCATAGTTGTCCTAGCGCAGGGGCCATGTGCATCTCTGTCTCCATTCAGCTTTAGTGCATACCCTGTGGAAGCAGGCACTTGGAATCTAATTCCGAGAGAGGGTCTCACTAGCTGGCCCAGGCTGCTCTCCAACTTTTGATCTTTCTGCCTTAGCCTCCCCAGGAGCTGGAATTACGGATGTGCAGCACTACGCTCCCTCTTTTTTTTTTTTAATTTTTATTTATTTATTTAGTGTGTGTGTGTGTGTGTGTGTGGCGCCAGCTCAGCCCACCAGGGGGCGGGGCTGGCTGGCATGTGGTGCTGGGGGATTGAACCGCGGTCCCTGTGCTTTGCTAAGCTTGTTCTAAGTAGGTGCTTTAGACCACTGAGCCATCTCACCAGCCCCAGCTCCCTCTTTTTATGAAACACTCCGACCAGTGTTTTGGCAGGAAAGGGAGGGCTCAGGGCTTCTTCACCTTGGCGTCGCCGCCCCTGAAGTTGTACCACATGGCATGCAGCTGCACAGTTCTGGCTCATTTTCTACCACAGAGCAGGGCAGTGTAAGGTCCCCAAAGAATGATCTCATAATAGTCATAGGGGTCAGAGATGCAGAGGAGCACAGCAGGCTGAGTGGGGGCTGCTGCCCCAGGGCTGGCTGGCACCACCTCCCTCCCACTCCCTCAGCTCCCGGCTCGCTGCGGCCACAAACTGCCAGGTGGTGATGGAATCGCGCACGCATGTGGAGATGGAGTGGTGAGTGAGGCCACTGGAGGGGACAGCCCTGGATGGCGATGCTGGCTGGGCTGAGTCACGTCCAGGCCAGTGACCAGTTCTGAGGGGGGCACTTGATGGCCTCACTGGAGATGCCAACACTAGTGGGCCACTATTTTGGAGAGGCACGGGGTCTTTACCTCTATCTTGGATCTATCCTGAGGTACAATGCCAATGTTGTGGTCAATAGTTGTGATTATTTGATTGTTAGAGGGTTTTTTTTTTTTTTTTGTATTGGGGATTGAACCCAGGGCCTTTGCACTGAGCTGCATCCACAACTTTTTTTTTTTTTTTGTGAGCAGAATATATTTATTGAGAGAAAGAAAGCTCCTGTCCCAAGAGAGGGACAGGAGGGGGAGCCCGAGTGGGTAGTTCCCCCCAACTTTTTAAAATTTTGAAGGGCCTGGGAGATGGCTCAGTGGAATAAGCGCTTCCTTGGCAAGCGCAAAGGCCTGAGTTCAATCCCCAGTTCTGAAAAAAAAATTGAGGGCTGGGGAGATGGTTCAGTAGAACATGCCTGGGAAGTGCAGGGTCCTGAGTTCAATCCCCAGTACCACCAAAAAAAAAAAAAAAATTGAGACAGGGTCTTGCTAACTCACTTAGTTGCCTAGGCTGGGCTCACACTTGCAATCTCCTGCCTCAATCTCCTAGAGTGCTGGGGTCACAGGTGTGCGCCACAGGTATGTGTCTGGCTGTGGTGGTGAATCTTGTTTAATTTAATTAGTTAATTAATTAATTAATTAAAATCAGGAAGCAAAGTCAGGACCTTGCACTTGCCAGGCAGTCGCTTATCCCACTGAGCTATATCCTCAGTCCTGATAGTGAATCTTTTTCTCTTTTTTTGTGGTACCGGGGATTGAACTCAGGACCTTGTGCTTGCCAGGCAAGTGCTCATTCTACTGAATTATCTCCCAGGGCCTTGATAGTCTTGATTGCCAACTTTGGCTTGAGAGACCCCCCTGGGAGGTGAGTAAAGCACTCTGTGGGTGTGGCTGCACGGGTCATGGGGGTTCAAACTTGAAGGCTCTGTCTGGCCTCTCTTCCTCTCTGGATCCCCCACTCCCGCTTCCTGGTCACCGTGGGTGAGCCCCTTTCCTCCACTGGGCCCTTCTGCTGTGCTGTTTCTGCCTTAGAGCCAGCTGACCTTGGACCGAGCCCTCTGAAACCATGAGTTAAGTGAAGCTCTCCTCCTCTAAGTTGTGTGTGTGTGTGTGTGTGTGTGTGTGTGTGTGTGTACGTGCCATGGAAAGCTGTCCAAGACACTATTCATCACCAGTGTCTGGTGAAGACTGGACAAGCTGGGGACCAGATGCTAGCACGGGGCTGTCATTCTGCCCTGAGGTGCTTTCTGGCAGAGTAAATGTTCTCTGGAGCTAGCTCTCTGGGAAGAAGGTCCAGACAGGCATGTCGTCAGCTGCAGGTCAAGAAAGTGGATGCAGGATGGTGTCTCCATCATGTCTCTCGCAGTTATCCCAGACCCCCCTGCAGGGGCGTTTTCTCCTCTCTTGGCCCACGTCACCCCCTTACCCTTTCCCATGGCACCTTGGTGGGACCCCCACCCTATGTCCCTCTCTGTGATCTCCCCACAGGAGCCTCCCTGTCTCCCTGGCCTCCCTTGTCATGGTCTCAGAAAGGTGTAGCAGTCTAGGAACATGAGCGCTCGGGCTGGACTGTGGTGGGCAGTCTGGCCTTCTGCTCACAGGGCGGCCGTGCTGGACTGTCTTGGAGCCCAGCCTCACAGCATGCTTGCTCTGCAGCAGTCTTGATCTTCACTATGAACAGATTTGGAGGAGGAGGGGAGGTGCTGAGTGGGAGGTAGGGAAGCTGGGCCATCCTTACTGCCACACTCATCTTGCTCCTTAGCCACAGCCATGTGGCAGATGCTGTGCCTCACATCTTTAACCTTCTAAAGTCCATGTGGAGCCCATAGGATGAATTCTGTTGAGGAAACCAAGCTATGGACAGAAGATTCACTTGCCCAGGGTCACACAGCTCCCAAATGGCAGAGGTGGGACTGAAATCTATGGTTTATTTTTCTATTTTTCATTTAAAAAATGTATTTAGGACAGGGTCTACAGGATCTACAGGGTCTTACTATGTAGCTCTGGCTTGCAGTGATTTTCCTGTTTTTAGCCTCCCAACAGCTGGGATTACAGGTGCATGCCACCACGCCCAGTCTCAATCGCCATCTCAGTGTGCTCCAGGGTCAGGGCCAGCATGGCAGGCTGGGGATTGAACCCTGGCTGCTGCGCTCTGCCTAAGCAGCCTCTTTAGTCTGCTGAGCTATCTGGCCGGCCCTTTGAAATCAATGCTTTAATACTGTTAGGACCTCACAATTAGACCCTTCTTGACCTGAATAGAAAAACTACAGGCTGCTACTCTGTTGAAGCAGAAAGCCTGTCCACACAGCTTGAGTGACTAAAATAATTCTGCCTGTCAGTTTGGTTCCCAGGCCCGGCCCTCAGGCCTACAGCAATCTATGTAAGTCTAGAGAACTCTAAGTCAGCAGAATGCTATTGGCATCCTGCATTGACCCAAGTGCTTCATGCCTGAGGTACCAGAGCCGCTAGGAGACCTGCCCACACTTATGTTAGTCTATAAAACAGATTCTCTCCCTTTGTTCATGGTCAACGGTCTGCTTGACCTTGACCAGGGACAGCCTGAAGTAAAGATATTACTGCTTGCTTCAATTCTGCCTGTTCTAGCGGTCTGAGTCACTCCTTGGGGTCTAGCCTGGCCAACGCCACTCAGCTTTCTGATTCCAGGTTCAAAGATGGTTCTTCTGATTTATACCCTGGCCTTGGGGATGGCAGCATTGTTGGATGAAGCTCATGAGAAGTTAGAAATTGCTGCTTGTACCAGCAATTTCTGTACCACAGAGGCTGGATGTCTGGACATTTCTAGCCTCCCTTGCTGCTGGGCTCCTGATTGGAATTAGATCCAGCCTAGGATATGGTTTTGTGTAAGTCTTGGAAGACTTGGAAGCAGGAGAGAAGCAAAAGCTATTTTTCCTGTAGCTCTTGTAGCTGATGGGTGGATTCAAAGTCAATAGTACAGCAACACAATTTCACGTTCAGTGTCTCCCTACCAGAAGCACTTTCCTGTGATTGCATCAATTCTAGGAACTACAATGGAACAACAAAAGGGAACTACAATGGAAGCTGGGTGTGGTGGTGCATGCTTATAATCTTAGTACTTGGGAGAGTGAGGCAGGAGGATTACTATGAGTTCAAGGCCAGCCTGGGCCACACAGTGAGTGCAAGACCAGCCTGAACTACACAGTGGGCTGATTCTATCTCAAAAAACAAACAAATGGGTGGGTGAGATAGCTCAGCAGACTAAGTGCCTGTTTAGGCAAGCAGGGAGCAGGGCTCGATCCTTGGCACCACATGCTGCACTGACCCTGCCCCCAGGTGCGCTGAGCCAGCCACGCAAGACCGGGTGTGGTGGCGCATGCCTGTAATCCCAGCGCTGGGGAGCCTGAAAACAGGAGGATCACTCTGAGTCTGACCTGCATAGTGAGACCCTGTGCCAAATACATTGAAACAAAACAAAAAACCAAAAGAACAGCAGCAACAAAAATCCCAAGAACTGCAGTGGAGTGTTCTTGAAACCCAGAAAAAAAGCCTCTCAACATCCATCCTTGTAACCCTTGCTTATTTTTATTTTGTATTTATTTATTTATTTATTTATTTATTTATTTATTTTTGGTGGTACCAGGGATTGAACTCAGGACCTTGAACTTGCTAGCCAACCACTTATTCCACTGAGCTATCTCCCCAGGCCCCATATCACTTATTTAAAATAAATACTTTGGGGGCTTGCCAAATAGCTCAGAGGGTTAATGTGCAAGGGGCAGGGGTTTGATCTCTGGGCCTGCTGTACTGGCCCCACCCCGGGGCATGCTGAGACAGCATTGAGACTGGACGTGGTGGCATGTGCCTGTAATCCCAGCTCTTGGGAGGCTGTAAACAGGCAAATCGCTATGAGTCCGATCTAGTAGTAAGACCCTGAACATGCTATAGACCCTTTCCTAAAATACAGAAAAAAAAAAATAAATATTTTTTGAGACAGCGTCTTGCTAAGCTGTCAAGGAAGGCTGGCCTCAAATTTGCAATCTTCTTGCCTCCACCTCCCAAGTCCTGAGAGTCAGTGCATGTGCTGCTGTGCCTGGTCTTGTGCCCTTATATGGTCTCATAAGCATGAAGCTTCCAATTAAGCTGCTTTAGCTGCCTGTTCTCAGGTTGATAGATACAGGAGTTAGAAGCCCAACACGGACACAGCCAGCTTTTGCTCGGAGCTGTACTCCTCTTGGTCTCCACAGTC